CTATAAGGCATCAAGATATTAAGATATTATAAACAGTAATTTCATGCTTTCCTGTAACACTGCTTTGAAACAATGTGAAAAAGCTCTACCAAATAAATTTGACTTAACTATTTTTACATCATTTTGGCGCCCTCTGCTGGTAAGGTGGATCAGTGTGGTCTAACCAATAGGCTTAAGTCTGTGAAGGATCCTAATGAATATTCATAACCCTGTGCCTAGTCTGTCTTTAAGACATGCTGCTGTTAACGCCAGCCTGATAAATCAGATGTGTGAAGCATGAGTGGAGTTTTAATCTGTGTACCTTTGTTGCAGTCTCGCTGCGACTAATGATTGATGAGCACCAGGGTGTGCTTTACACAGCCAATAGATACGGAAGAGGGGATTTAAGCACACATTCACACACACACTTTAAACATCTGAGACTGTGACGATTTTGTCTGCTTCTCTCTTTGATGTTTCAGAGCCGCGGTTTCATTTTGGCCCTGATCCCCTTTTAATCTCCACATACACAAATTCAGAAACACACACACACATGTATAGAGAGAGAGAATCCACAGGAAAAGAGGTCGGATGAACATGTCACTATTGTTCTCCTTCAGTCTGCTGAAGAATTAAGGCTGATTTCATGGAAGATGAGCAATATGGCATGTAATAATTTATAGCCTCATTAAATTAAAGGACTTGGATTCTGTTCTCTGGCAGTCTGACTGTCTATTTTCAGGGTGTTTTTTCATCTTCCTGCAGTTGGCGGTCTAATTTTCTCTCTCTTACTGTGAAAACTTCTAATGATTGATGCAGGGGGTTTATATACTGATTAATGCCGTTGTTTTAAAGGCCATTCTCAGACATGACCTTTAACCCATATTGCTATAATGATTTGTCATTTGAATCAGAATACTGCAGTATATGCTGTGTTAAAAATGGTAGGTGAAACAGTGTTATTTTAGTATCATTTTATAGTTTTTGTTAATTTTTAAAATGGATTTAATTTATTATTTATTTATTTTTAGATTTTAGAGATTATTTTAAATTTTAGGTTTTAGTCATTTTGTGTGTGTTTTTGTCATTGTTATTTAAAAAAAATGTTTATAGTATGTATATAGTGTTTTTATTTAGTTAGTTGTTTTAGTACTTCAAGTTAAACTAAATGAAAATGAGAAATGTCTTGGCAAATAAGTGCACTTTTATGGCTGTTTGGTGTAGCATACTAACATACTAATATTTAGTTTTTCTGCTCTATACAGTATGTATACTGTGCACCGTATGTTAATTTTCATTACGCAAGAAAATGTAATTAATTAATTAATTAATTCAGTTTTTAAATTTTATATACTTTTGTAGAATACATTTTTAGAATTAGTTTTTATTATTAGTTTTCATTTTAACTTTAGTTTATGTTGTAGTAATAGTAGTAGTAAGTTTTTAGTTTTTTATTTATATAATATTTCTATTTTAATACATAATTTTCTGTACGAATGTAATTGTTATTTTTATATTATTTATTTAATTGTGTTTTTTGTTATTTTTATTAGTTTTTTATATTTCTATATTAAAAGCTATAAATCTTATAAATCTTATAAAAGCTATGTTATAGCTTTATTTCTTATTTCAGTTTTGGGTTTAATGACTTGTTTTATTTGTTTTATTTTACTTAACTGCTGAGGCAACATTTCTAATTTTCGGGGGGTTTTTTAAGTTGAAGTTTTTCCATTTGGTAGATGTGCTACCAAGAAATTCTATAATTAATATATCA